TATGTTCCCTCAGTCTCCTTCTGGGAAGTCCTGTCCTTCCAGTGGCTCCTGAGCCTTTTGCTGCGAGGCTTCCTGCAGCAGTGCCAGGGCCTAGCATCATGGGGCAATCCCATGAAGGCGCTCCGGTATGTTACCCCAAAGGGGACATTTCCTCCGAGCAGAACAGGTGCCCTGACTTTCAGAGACCACCCGCCCACTCCTCCGCCTTTGCCCACTTCTGGGCCCACAGTTGTGAGGCCTCTCAGGGATTTCTCCCTTCTCTTTCCCCACCAGCCTGGGACACCCCTGAGAGGCCTCTGGGCTCTGCTGTGACCTCAGGAAAGCCCCCGAGCCATTGGTACTAAAAAGCTTGGCGTCTACCTCATCACAGCAGTCAGTTGCGGGTAGAGAGCTTGGCCCTAGGACTCTGGACACCTAAACCCTTCTTTCCCCAGCAACACGCAGAAGTATACGTTCCATGAACCAAACCAATTATGAGGTTAGGAAGGCCCAACTTCCGTTCCCAGCTCCACCACCTCCCTTTTCTCATCCTCGCTTTTTCCGCTCGAAAATGGACATAAGACTGCTGACCACCTCGAGGGACTGAGGGTTTTAGGGGACAACATGTGTCCAGCACGTAGGGAGGTCTGGCTCTGACTGCCAGTGTCAGCGCTTTCCAAGTGAACGTCCAGGCCTGGCACGGAACGGGCCCAGGGAGAGGTGTCCACTGTGCAGGGCTGTGCAAGGACTGTCCAGGACGCCCTGAGAGTGTCCCCAGCCGCTATCTGCTAGGTCTCATTTACAGCCCTGCTCCTTTTTCGTCTGCTGCCCCTCCCTCCCTCCCCTTGCCTCCGTCCCATTTCTATAGTGACCCAGAGCGATGACCACTTTGCATGCATGCATAGCTCTTCCCAGTTTGGATTGCACTTCAGTGAGAGCCAATCAACTTATGTGAGGAGGGCAGGAGAAGAATTACGGCTTTGTGGTTCCCAGGACCAGGCTGAGGCCCGGAGAGGGTGCTGAGAGGCCTCCTCTGCGGAGGGGTAGGGTTTGGGCTGTGTTTGGGCTCCCAGTTACATAAGCAGGAGCTCACGAGAGGCCATTTGGCATTTAATAAGCACCTTGTATAATCACCTTTGGGAACCAAAGGGTAATCTCGGGGTATTTTCTTGTGCCTGTGCTGTTTGTTTAAACCCCAGGAAGAGTGGATAGGAGCAGATCAGCTTAGCAGGGGAGGTGAGGCCCTGAGCGGTAATGAACCCCTGTGGTAAGGCTCACACAGGAGAACAAAAGGTGCCTGAAGCAAATTAATTCTTTCCCTTTTGGTTCCAGACACTGGAGCACTCTATCCTCCCTCAGTTGGGACCAAGCCCAGGATGCACCTGGGCTGGGTTTAATCCTCAAATTGGACTCCATAATAGAAAGGGGTGGGGAAGGAGGGGCCCCCTTAGGAGAGCCCCACTGCTTCCTGCCCCCATGCAGGGCCAGTGGGGATCAAATAGCCACCCCTTTAAAGTTTCATGGCGGGCTGGTAATACTATCGTGCTGCTCCCTCCCGGAAGGCCAGTGGGAGAGATGGTGGCGGTAAGACAGAGCAGGGGGCAGCGTAGGGCTTCCCCAGATGAGGGGACCTGCGGGAGTGAGGCTTCGTGCCTTCCGTCCCCCAGCCTGAGGGGATGCTGTGTGGTGGGATGGGCTCACCACAGACTGTCCAGTTAGATGCTGTCACTGCTCAGCCCTCTTCCTCCTCCTCCCACGAGCACCACCGCGGAGCTGCAGCAGGCACGCTCGGAGGCTCTGGCGGACAGATGTGCGTGGGTGTGAGGCTGAATGTAAGCGTGTACGGGTAGTGCCTGGCACCAGTGGCAGCTGCTCTCTTAATTGTATGGGGACGGAAACAAGCCGGGAGAGGGGCATGCTTGCTTGTATCCTAACATGTGGCTTGTTATCATAACATATGGCTGGGGAAAGCCCCTCTTGGATCTTGTCTGTCCCCGACAGTCCTGCCAGAGGCAGCAGATGAAAATAGAGGAGTTGGAACTGAGCAGACCCGGGTTCTAATCCTACCCTGCTTTTTACTACGTTGGGGGTAAACCCTTTTCGTATCTGAGCCTCTATTCCTTCATCTGTGTAATGGGGGAGCCAGCCCAGCTGCCTGGGTGAAAGGAAGAGCCAAAGAGGGGTAATAGTTGCATCAGCTGGGGGTAGGGGCTTGGGACGGGTATTCCCAGAGCCCGTCCTGAAGTCTTTACAATTGAATTTGTTACATAGTTAGTTAGGAAGACATGAGCAGAGCGAGGACGATGGGCCACGTACAGAAACTCACCAAGGCAGAAATGATCTAACGATGAGGCCTCCGATCTTGTCATCTTGAGGGAAAGATTTCAATCAAGAGACAATGTGTGGCAAAGTGAGTGGGAATTTATTGGCCGCAGCAAAAACAGATTTAGGAGAGTGAAACAAGGAAGGGCATGGAAGAAGCAACAGGAGAGTCTAGGCTTTGGCTCACAGAGATGTCCGAGGGGAAAAAAAGGGGCTTGGAGACAGGTTCAGGGAGTTAGTCCTGGACGAGCTGCTGCTGCCCACTGCTGCCCTGATTGCAAGTCTTATGGGGTCCCTTAGTGGAAAAGGGGAAAGGAAATGGCATAAGCATGCTGGGGGGGAGGGGAGGGGAGACAGGGAATGGCATACCCTGGGTTCTTCCTTCCAAACGTGTTTATTCCTCTCCTGCAGATGGAAATCTTAGGGGAGGTCTCAAGGGAAGGTCTCAATAGAATATTCATCAGCTTTCCAGGTGTGCTCTTGCAGGGTCATGGTCTCCACTGATTGGTGGGTGCCAAGGCAGGCGGTCACTAGTCAGTGTAGCTGGTCCTGATGCAGCCAAGGTGTCACTTGTCAAATTTTGCTGCTTTTCTGGGCCTGGAGCTGAAATACAACTGAGGCCTCGATGTTACCTTAGGGAGGAAAAGGCAGGGGTCTCTAAACCACAGGACCAGCAATATGCTGTGGGAGGAAGGTTGCCCTGGGGGACGGGGTTCTTGTTTTTCTGGTTCTGCCCTCTGCTAGGTATCCAGGCTTTCTGCCCTGGTGAGCTGCTGTACCTGGCGTGGAGTCCTTGCTCTGCTCTTGTCTGCCTAATTATCTGTACAACAGAATGAAGGCTCCAGCCTCTGGAGGATAGGCCAGGGGTGGGGGCTTAGGACTGTAGACTCATCCATCATCACCCACAAAAGAGGTGAGGTGAGCAGAAATCGGTTTGGCTCAGTGGATAGAGCTTCGGTCCCGGGTTCGATTCTGGTCAGGGGCATGTACCTTGGTTGTGGGCACATCCCCAGTAGGGGGTGTGCAAGAGGCAGCTAATCGATGACACTCTCTCATTGATGTTTCTGATTCTCTATCCCTCTCTCTTTCTCTGTAAAAAAATCAATTTTATATTTATATATATATATATATATATATATTTTTTTTTTTTTTTTTTAAAGGGTAAGGTGTGGCCAGTCGCTGCAGGGAGAGGCTTCCATCTGGGAGGCTGGTGTATGGGTCTTGGGCATGACTCAGCCCCTGCCAAACCATGACAGTGAGCCATGCTTCCTCTGCTCCTTCTAGCTCCCCTCCCAGTTACATGTGGCCCTGCGTGGCTTTCTGAACCTAAGTCTCAATTCCCTCTTCATGAAGCAGTGACCAGTTTTGTGGTTGTGAGGGTCAGGCCAGTCTGTGTGGCGGCTAGCACAGCACCGGGCACAATGCTCAGCACCAGTGCATGGAACACCTGACCCCAACCCTGAGCTGTGACGAGCCTGGGCCCGGGAACATCCGAGCTCTGGAGGCCAGCCAAAGATCCATCCAATCCAGTGGGTTCCCAACTGGGTTCCTTAACCTCCTAGGGCAGAGATGGTGAGCAGGCATGGAGGGCTGTATGCCCCAGCCCTCACTTCAGCCAGAACAGGCCCACTTCCATCTGATAATATTTAAGAAAGAGTTCTGCCGCCTGAAGTTTAAAATCCACCAATCTGGTCCAGCCAGCGTGGCTCAGTGGTTGAGTGTCGACCTAAGAAGCGGGAAGTCACGGTTCCATTCCTGGTCAGGGCACATACCCAGGTTTCGGGCTCCATCCGCAGTACAGGGTGTGCAGGAGGCAGCCAATCAATGATTCTCTCTCATCATTGATGTTTCATCTCTCCCTCTTCCTTCTCTGACATCAATAACAATATATATATATATATATATATATATATATATATATAAATTTTTTTTAAAAATCCACTCCTCAAAGAATTATATGAGGAGTATTCAGGGAAAGAATCCTGGGAGGGCAGGGTGCTGGTGGTAACTTTCAGCTGTGCCTAGACACATTGGCTGGTGCAGTGGTCGGCAAACTGTGGGTCTCGAGCCACATGCGGCTCTTTGGCCCCTTGAGTTTTTATTTATTTATTTATTTTACACTTTTTTTAAATTAAATTATTATCTGTGTACATATTTTAACATTGCCCCCCCCCCCCATACATACCCTCTCTCCCTAGAATTTTGTGTCCATTGGTTGTACTTACATGCATGTATACAAGTCCTTTGGTTGATCTATTATCTCCCCCAGATCTCCCTACCCTCCCTGCTGTAATTTGACAGTCTGCTTGTTGCTTTACTGTCTCTATAACTATCTTTTGGTTCGTCAGTTTATAATGTTCTTTATTATCCATAAATGAGTGAGGTCATGTGGTGTTTCTCTTTCATTGACTGGCTTATTTCACTCAGCATGATGTTCTCCCTGGCCCCCTGAGTTTTTAGCAAAGGCCAGCTTAGGAGTACCCTAATGAAGTTAATAACAAGGTACCTACCTATATAGTTTAAGTTTAAAAAATTTGTCTCTCAGAAGAAATTTCAGTCGTCGTACTGTTGCTATTTGGCTCTGTTGACTGAGTTTGCCGACCATTGGGCTGGTGTCTTATGGGGCTGGGTTAGTACCACCCGGTATGGGGGGTGCCTGCTGACCACCCTCACCTGTGGCTCTCTTTCTAGCCTCGACCATGCTGTGGGCCCTGCTGCTGCCCCTGCTGCTGCTGCTGGCCGCCAGCTGGGTGCAGGCGACCCGGCCCTGCTTCCCCGGGTGCCAGTGTGAGGTGGAGACCTTCGGGCTCTTTGACAGCTTCAGCCTGACACGCGTGGACTGCAGCGGCCTCGGCCCCCACATCGTGCCGGTGCCCATCCCTCTGGACACAGCCCACCTGGACCTGTCCTCCAACCGGCTGGAGACGGTGAACGAGTCGGTGTTGGCGGGGCCAGGCTACACCACGCTGGCCGGCCTGGATCTCAGTCACAACCTGCTCACCAGCATCTCGCCCACCGCCTTCTCCCGCCTCCGCTACCTGGAGTCCCTCGACCTCAGCCACAACGGCCTGGCCGCCCTGCCCGCAGACAGCTTCACCAGCTCGCCCCTGAGCGACGTGAACCTCAGCTACAACCGGCTCCGGGAGGTCCCGCTGTCCGCCTTCACGACCCGCGGCCAGGGCCGGGCGCTGCACGTGGACCTCTCCCACAACCACATCCACCGCCTCGTGCTCCACCCCGCGGGCGCCAGCCTGCCCACGCCTGCCATCCAGAGCCTGAACCTGGCCTGGAACCGGCTCCACGCCGTGCCCGACCTCCGGGACTTGCCCCTGCGCTACCTGAGCCTGGATGGGAACCCGCTGGCCGCCATCGGCCCGGGCACCTTCACCGGGCTGGCGGGCCTGACGCACCTGTCGCTGGGCAGCCTGCAGGGCGTCCCCCAGCTGGCACCCTATGGTTTTCATGAGCTGCGCAGCCTGCAGGTCCTGGACCTGTCAGGCAACCCCAAGCTCAAGTGGGCAGGCGCCGAGGTGTTCTCGGGCCTGGCCTCCCTGCAGGAGCTGGACCTGTCGGGCACAGGCCTGGCGCCCCTGCCTGAGGCGCTGCTCCTCCACCTGCCAGCGCTGCAGAGCGTCCGTGTGGGCCGGAGCACGCAGTGCCGGCGCCTGGTACGGGAGGGTGCCTACCCCCGGCAGCCTGGCTCCAGCCCCAGCGTGGCTCTGCACTGCGCAGACACCCGGGAACCGGCCTCCAGGGGCCGGGGCACCTTGTGACAAATGGTGTGGCCCCAGGCCACACGACAGACTGCCGCCGGGCTGACTCGGGTCCCTCCCGGGTGATTTATATTTTAATGTGCCAATGCCGGTGGGGACTCTGCAGGCCTACGTGGCGGCAGCATCAGGGAAGACAGCTGTGGACCGAGAAGAGGCTTTGGACCTGGGACAACACCCAGGAGGAAAGTCTTGCCCTCTGTCTGTATTGTCCCCCAAACCGTAAGCAGAGGGTCTTTGATGCCAAACGACACAGCTGCCTCCCTGCTGTCCTTCCCCATTCGACCCCAAAGTGCCTTCCCTCAGGCCTGGGCCAACCCGACTATGACTGAAGGGAGGTCAGAGATCAGGTCCATGGCTGAGTGTCCCCTTGGGCCCATGGTCCAGCCACTCAGGGGCATGGGTTTCTTTTGCTCTGGGCCCATGGGGCCCACTTTATCCTCCTCTGTTCCCCTCGAGCCCTGGGTAGAACTGTAGTTACAGAAAGAACTTGGTGGGGGGAAGGGGCGCACATTTAGGGAGGATCAAGCCCACCTCCTCCTGTGGCGGATGAGAGAACTGAGGCCCAGAGAAAGAGCATTGTCCATCTGAGGCACTGCAGCGGCAGAGGCACCACTGCCTCCCAGCCAGGCTCCTTTGCACTTTGCTGTCTTCTCTCAATCATGGCCCCCCGCTCCCCTTCCTGGGTTCCCCTTTGCTGCCAAGGCCCACATCCTACCATTGGCACCCACTTCCTGTCATCCCGGGGGGCAGGACTCTGGGCCCACTGACCAGGTGTGATGCACGGGCTGTCCCTTCACCTCTCAGAGCTTCTGGAAGGCATGCCAGTCCCAGCCCTGCCAGCTTCCCACTCTGGGGGGGGGCCCCTAGCATCAAAACTGGAAATGTTCCCATTGATCCTTGAGGCACTGCTTCTAGGTGCCCCCCCAAGATGATGATGTCGTCCTGGAGCCCCACCTGCCACAAGCCAGGGCGGGCCTCCCAGACTCAGCCCCTACAGCCCGCCTCCCTACTGAGAGGGCAGCACAGGAGGCAGGCAGTTCCCACCCGGGTCCATGTTTCCCCACCAGGGGGCACCTCGGCCTCCAGCCCTGGCTCTTTCCTTAGTGCTCATTTTATAGAAGTCGTTGCCTTTCTTACGGTCACTTTTAACTAGTTCCCCACTCCCACCCCTGCTGGCCGGGGATGCAAAGTGTCATTTGTAAAAGGGAAAAAAAAAAAAAAAAAGTTGCATCTGTTCACTTTTGTAATAGTGTGTCCTGGGGGTGTTGGGGAAGGAGGTGTTGGGTGGAAGCCATCCGTGGCCATGTGGGCAGCGGGGCTGGCTGAGAGCTCTGTCCCCCACCAGCCCCACCCAGCACCTAACTAGTCCGTGGTTTAATAAACGTTAGAAAGAGTCTCTTTTTCCATCACTCAACCAGTGTCCACTCATATTCCCTGGGCTGGGCCCTGGGGCCACAAGGATGAATCAGCACCAGCGTTGCCCCGGACAGTGTGTTCTTCCTGAAAAGCCCAATGGAGGGGAGAGGTGGCATAGGGGAGGGGGGGGATTGCGTGGGGGTGGGCTGCACCCACAGCAGCTTGCACCCTGTCCACCTTCCTTATTTCCCCTCTCCCATGAGCCTACATGTCTCTGCCTTTGCTCAGACTTACTTGGGGACCTTGCCCTTGCCCTCATCTCTACCTCTCAACTCCTCATGCTCATAGACCCAGTTCCTATCGCACCTCCTTCCGAAATTCCCCCTGTGGTCCCTTTACCTCCCTCCTCTGAGTTCCCTCAGTCCTTTGTTCCTTCCTGTCATTTCTCTGCTATGGCAGCCTAACTCCTCTGTACACCTCCAGTGACAGGGGAGCTCATGTCCAGCTCATCTGTGTGACTCTACTGTCAGCAAATTCTTCTAAAAGGCCAAGGTCTGCAGGGATATCCATCACCATCATCCCCAACAACCACAGGTCACCCCACCTCTGCCCTAAGGAGTCCCACAGTCTCTGGTTCCCTGGCATGGGAGGGGGTGAAAGGACACAGGACACCTAACTAAGCCGCACAGGGCGCTGTGAGCCTGTGGACGGGTCAGGAAGGCGTCCTGGAGGAGGCTCATCCATCCGCACAGCTGAGCAGGACAAGTGGGCCTGAAAGAAGGGCTGGCACATGGGAGGGGTTATAGGTGTGCAATGGCGCAGAACCCAGAACATGCAGGGCACAGGTATGCGTGGGAGCTTGTCCATCTTGTTACTCAACCCTCACTCCCTTCCCCACCTACTCCCCCTCCCCCACACACACAGGAGCCCAAGCTGGCACATGGTCAATATGAGAAAGGGCTGAGGCATGAGAGGGGGTGTTCACCCCGGCCCTCAGAGCCCTCCAATTGGTTCCCCACCCCTCTGCATTCCCTGGATTAGAGAGATTTCAGATGCACGGTTGGGGAAAGATCTCTGGGACTTTCACCCACTGGGCCTGGGCCCTCCCAAAGCCCTGCCTGAGGAAGGAACCCTTGAGAGAGGGACATGGGACATAGGGGTCTTAGAGATGGGGACACAGGGGTGCTGAAGGCAGAAGGGGGGATGCTGGGGCTCCCGCACTGAGGCAGGTCATCTCCGCCCTGAGACAGCTGTCGTGGGAGGGTGCAGATGCCACCACATTGTGCAGGGTCCTCCTTCCTGTGGGGTCATTATTCTGTACCCCCAGCCCTGGCCTCTGGCCTGACTTAGAGAGGGGCAGAAGCCCCAGGCCCCTGCAGAGGCTCCCGGCCCGCAACGCCACCTTGTGGTTGTGCGTGGCCAGACACCCCATGTCCATGGCTGTCATGGGAGCTCGTGGGGCCCGTGCAGTTTGTGCAGCCTGCCTCGCCGTCCCCTAGCTAGACTGCTTTCATCCTGCCATGTCTGCCCTCCGGAATCCTGGGGTTAAGAATGGGGTCGTTCAGCATGGAGGGACCTGGGGAGTATTATGCTAAGTGCAATAAACCAGTCAGAGAAAGACAAGTACCACATTATCTTGTATATGGAATCTAATGCACAAAATAAACTGATGAATGAAGTGGATCCAGAGACATGGAAGCATGGACTCTCAGAAGGGAGAGGAACTGATCAACCAAGGAATATGCATATATGCATAACCCGTGGACACAGACAATAGGGTGGTGAAGGCCTCGGGTGGAGTGTGGGGCGGGCTAGAAGGGGTCAATGGGGGAAATAAGGGGACATATGTAATAATTTCAACAATAAAGATTTAAAAAATAAATACAGCTACAAAGAAAAGAATGGGGTCATTAAAATCTTACAGAATTATAGAGATAAGTGCAAAGATCCCATCAGAGTTCACAGAAAAGGTAACATCCTGGGTCCATTGCAAACCAGTTGTGTGGCTTTGACCAAGTCCCTTCACCTGTATGAGCCTGGGAAACGGGGAAGAAAATGTCTCCCTCCACAGGGTTGTATGAAGAGAAAATCGGGTAAAGAACTGAGCTCAAGGCCAGGCACAAAACAGATACTCCCTAAAAGCTTGTCCTGGAACTCCCTCGTTCAATCGTAGCGTCATGAATTAGATTGCAGAACTGTGCGGTCTTAGACTCACATTTTGATAACTGACTCGGAACTGGACAATTTCATAAAAGTTTAAAATTTAGAATCGCAGAACAATGCTCTAATCCACAGGATCTGCGGTGCCTAACACGGAGTGGGCCTTTACTGCACATGTCCCTTGAGTTTTAGAGGTGGCAAGACAACTCCGACACAGTTTGCCATCACGGTGTAGGCTGGGCGACGAGCATTCCCTTGCATGTCATTAGTACTCCAGCTGCCATTTACTGGGCACACGTTTCTCCAGCTTTGTGTGCACACTGCCATTGCCTCCTCCTGGTGACTGCCAAAGGATTATTGTCAACACACAGACGAGGAAACCAGCCTGGGCCTGGCTTCCGCTGTCAGATGGTGCATCCCTCGCGCTTGCCTGTCCTGCCTCAGGGGCCTGGCCAGGAGTGCACAGCCCACCTATCAGAGAGGACAGAGATTCCCTGTGAAACCAGAACACACTGGGATTCCATTTATGTTGCTGTTGAAAACCAACTGGGGAAGTGATGCAGCTTTGAATATCTCTAATCAGATCATTATTCTAGATCCTAGAGCATAAAAAGCCAAAGATCAAAGTCCTGGCCCTCCTAGCCCCATTTCACAGATTGGGAGAGTGAGGCCCAGAGAGGCGCAGCCTGCGTGCGCATGGCAGGTGGCCGGGACTCTCCGTTTCAGAACTGGCCGCATCATTTGTGGGACCCAGTATAAAATACGTGGGGCTTTCTTGCTCAAAAATTATTAAGAATTTCAAAATGGCAAGAGCTGAGCATTAACTCAAGTACAGGAACCCTGTGAGGTCCCGCTGCAGCCCTGGTGTGCTTAAATCACACCATTTACAGAGACAAAAGGGACAGCCACCCAGACAGTGTTGGGCAGAGCAGCAGATGAGAGCTTGTGGATCTGTACTTAGCCCAATATCTCTGTAGCTCAGGGAGCCAATGACACTCTTTAAAACCCAGGAGATTTTCCTCCATGGGTGTTACCACACCACCTCCCGATTTTCCACAAATTGCCATGGTCTACAGGTTTTCAGAGAGAGGGCAGAAGGAGATACAAGAACTACTTGTCTCTAAGCCAGCTTATAGAACGTTTTTGTGAATAAGACTGCCAGAAGTCTACCCTCTGCTCATAGTTAATGTCCACCAGACAGTATAGTCCATCACAGGCTAATAGGACTATGCCCATCGAAGCATAACGTTCTGTGTTGACTAATGTCTACTAGGGAGCAAATGTCCATTGATAACAAATGTTTATCAACACCTCATGTCCATGGGTGCTGGGGGTTGGGGCAGGGTAGAGAAGAGAGTAGGCCAGAAGATCAGGGGTGGAGAGGGGAAGGAGACATATACAATGTGTCAACAATAAAGAATTTTAAAAAGAATACCTCCTGTCCATCAAGGACAGCTCTCATCAATGGCAGATGTCCACAAAGG